TTTTTTTTTTTTTTTTTTTTTTTTTTTTTTTTCTTGTCTCTGTGTCTAGCTGGTATGTGCTAAAAAATCGAGCCTGTAATTATTACCTTTAATGAGCATAATGTGCTATGCTGATTGGTCCAGTGCCTCATCTCCTTTGAAGGGATTGCTTATCTGAATAGCATTGGGAGGTCATTGCATCCTCGGGGTGGAAAAGTGAGGTTCATTTTTTTATCTGATATCGAGTGCTTATTCCTCTCTTGAAGGACTTGAGCTAATTAGGCCACGGATATTTGGAAATGAATAAGCAATGACACTTGTTCCTCTGGGAGCTTTTGGCGTAGTGGGATAGACTCACACTATCATACTACAATGTGGAATTTGCCACATGCGTTGGAAATACAATAAGGAATGACTAAATAAATCATGTTCTTGGCCATTTGGGATACAGCGGTGGTTCTTTTGAGTTTTAAGGTCTACAAGAACTTTTAAAGTTGCTTAGGGTGAAAGCCTCTTGTGGCACCACAAGTTAAAAGATTCTAGGGCTGTATCTTTCTAAAGCTGTTGGAGCTTCAAAATTGAAATATTCAGCCTAGAGCAGAAGTTCTCAACCCCTGCATGATTGACATGTAAGGCCAATTAATTGTTTGTGGGTGTCCCCCATAGCAGGATATTTACCAGCATCCCTGTTTCTACTAAATATATGCCGGTGGCACTCTCCCACTTGTGGCAGTCAAAAATATTTGTACATATTGCCAAATGTCTGCAGAGGGGAGGTGCAAAATTTTCCTCAGTTAAGAACCACCAGGCTAGAGAAAGCATTTTGGGTCTGTAGGACATTAGAAAGATGTTATTCAGCACTGTCCTTGGTGGTTGGAAGTCTTTTAGCCTCCAGGCCCTTACTTATCTATCTTGGCTGTGGCAGGAAAAGCTTAAGAGGCTTTTTGACTGAAGCTGGCTTTGCCTCAAAGTCATTTTACCTCTGCTTTTGCTCTTGACTGCTTTCCTGTTAATCCACTGTCCAGTCTCAGTCAGCTTCTGTGTGACTCCAAACTTGATGCTGCTTTCTCTTCTCATGTTATTAATTTTGTTAGTTTTTCTAGCAACTAAGGGTGGACACATATAGACACATATAGACAATTTGATGAAATGTTTTTCTGTAAGTAACAGCTCGCTGTTACTGATTTTTAAGATTATATTTAAACCCATCTTTTAGGGAGTTGTTGAACCTACTAAAGTAATATTGTTTAAATGTATTTTCTGGCTTAAGTTTCTATTAAATAAATGATACGCATACAGCACTATGTGAGTAAAGTGACTAAAGGTAAAGATTAGTGACTTTATCTCATACCAGTTTTTTAAAACCATTTAATAAATATTTGGGCATTCATTAACGCTAGGCACTGGATTAGTGCTCTTAATTATAGTTTTCTAATTTTATGTTTAAAACTGTCTGAACATTTCAGGAGTATCTGGTAAAGTTCCTATATAGATCGCTCCTTGAGCTATCCCTTAAGTAGTTTTGGGTATCTATATAATAACTACCTTTGTATTTTTATTGTGATATATCAAAAATTAGCATTTAGGAGCATGAAGGAAGTAGCATTCATGATTTTAAAATATGTTTTGCCTTTCTTGAGGTCTCTGTGGCTCCATGTTTGCTAACTGGCAGTGATGTGGCCTAGACTGGCTTTTGTGATACCCTTTGATTCCAGGTTATTTTAGATTATTGATGACGCTCAGCTTCTGAGAGGTAGTTTTAGATGTGAACCTATTTAATTTAATAATGTAATGAAAAGTTTTAGTACTAAAATAAGAATATGACGCCCTCATTAATTCCATTACAAAATTACTTTATCAAAAACAAATTAGCTAGAAAAAAATTACATCTTATATTTTCTTATCTAGACAAAGAGAGGCCTGTCCAGTCTTTGAAAACATCAAGAGATACTTCACCCTCAAGTGCTTCAGCAGCTTCTACATCAAAGGTTTGTTATATTTCTAAAATCAGTTTAAAGAAGAATTACAAAATGAGATGGACTGACTAGTACTGATGCTTTTTTTTCTTTTCTTTTTACTCTTACACCAAAGGGGCTAATTTGCTGCATTTAAAAACTTAAATTTTTGGCTAGGAGTGGTGGCTCATGCCTGTAATCTCAGTAATTTGAGAGACTGAGATGAGAGAATTGCTTGAGGCCAGGAGTTCATGACTAGCCTGGGTAACATAGCAAGACTCTATTTTAAAAATTAAAAATTAGCCAGATGTGGTGGCATGCATCTGTAGTCCTAACTACACAGAAGGCTGAGGTGAGAGGATTGCTTGAGTCCAGGAGGTTGAGCCTGGAGTGGGCTATGATTGCACCCCTGCAATCTAGCCTGGGCGACAGAGCAAGATGCTGTCTCTAACAAAGAAAAACAAACAAACAAAAAGCTTAAATTTTAAATAACCACAACTTGAAAATAGCATCCCAAGTTTGCTATTTTCTGTGAGAAAAAATGGGCAGTTTTCTCACTGAATTTTTAACACAGCCTATGCTAAATAAAGTACTTATTGCTGCAACCTGTGTTCTCATCTTGACCATAACCAGGTTGAATGGGTTATATCTGGTTGATTTTGCTTTTATTTGGGGAGGTGGGTGTGTAGGCAGAGACGTAACATGTATGGTGTATTTTTTTCTCTTATTAATTCATACAGAAATCTTACGTTAGTAGGTTCATATCTCTATACTAGAGTGAGGGCTCAGGAGTTAAATTAATTTCTTAAGGACTTAGCTACCCCTCACTGTGTCATCTTAAAACATAAATCCTCAGAAATTAAAAATTCGACAAGTTGCTGTTTCCATTTGTTTTCTCCAGTTAGAGGTTCTCTTCACAGATTTCATAATCTTTCTCTTAGCCATAATGGTTGTTATATTTGTTATCTGCTTCACTTCTTTTCGTTCTGCTTTTTATACTTTTTGGCTTTTCAGAAAAAGTAGATACCACCTAGCGGTCTATACTGTTTGTTCAGGGGGCGGCTGCTTCCCTGCCTCAGAAGGAAAAAAAAAATGTCTGCTTTGTAACAACTAGTATCTTTGGAACTTTCCTGGAAGTCTGAGGGTTCTGGGTTGCTGGACTTTGAATAACAAACACCAATTGAATTAAGATTTGCTCTTAATCATATCAAGGACGCTTTACCCACCTGGAAGACTGGCTTGTTTTTCATGTCAGGTAATAGATGAAAGAAGAGTGAATAGTACCTGCCTATTAAAGTCACTACAAAAATTTACATTATTACGTATGAAATATTTTCTCTAAGATATACTGCTATCTGAATATAAGTTACAACATAGAGTTTTGTGCTGCATGTTAAAATGTTTAGTGGAGAACAACCATGTTGGATTTTTAACTACTTCTGTGTAATAGTTTCTCGTATATAAACTCGTCCAACCTGTGGCCCAGGACGGCTTTGAATTTAGCCCAACACAAATTCCTAAACTTTCTTAAAAACATTATGTGATTTTCTTTTTTTTTTCTTTTTTTTTTTTTTTA